CTCATTTTAATATATATATATATAAAATATATTTATACAAAAAGAGTTAATAAACCAAACGGTGTAGGTTTTGGTGCCACCCTGAACAAGATTCACTGAAACGAGCAGTTCAGGACCTGTTTGCTTGCAGCAGATGAGAAACCAAGCTGAAGATTAATTATTTCAGGTACTACTATTTCAATACAGCACCCACAGCTAATTACACAACTCAGAAATCAACCAAAACAAGCAACATTTAAAAACCTTACAAAACCCTGCCAAGTTTAAGATCCTTACAAATTACTCTGTAGAACTCGGTGAAGTAATGTCAAAGGACATGCAGAATGTGTGTTCTTTGACAAAGTTTTCACCAGCTTTATGGCTGTGAGTTGTTGCTGATCCCACTGCAGTGACAGCCCCTGCTCTCATGGAGCTGCATCACTGCCGACTGCACCCGGTCAGGGTGGTCTTGTTTGGTTCATGTTTGTATCTGCGGCTTCTGCTCCTGTGGCACCCAAGCGGGTGCTGGTCTGTTCCCACCTGTGACTCTGTGGGTGCCTATGTGCTTTCACTTAGGGCTCCCAGATCCTGGAATTTATTTCCTTTGTAGTCAACAGGCTTTCATTTACATCTGGGACACGTAACCTGCAGTACATTCAGGCTGCTATCCCCCGCCTTAACTTTGAACTCCTGGTCAGGTCACTATTTGTTTTGTCAGTGGTGATGTTTTTCAGGGCAATGACGACTTTGATCTGTGCTGATCTTTGACCAGTTTTGGTTTTAGACCTGTGCATAAACACTCCAGGATACACAAAATATTAAAGAGCCAAAGAGAGCCATTTGTACTCAAGCTCTTGCAGCCATTTCATAATACATGTACGATATGCAAGTGTGCGCCTACATGCCAAAAATAGGTTAATACACACTCGTGATAACCTCACAATATCTCACTTGTCTATAGTCTGGAGCCAAAGGAGATGACTTGCTGATTTAGCAGAGCAATTCTCCTGTCACAGGTTATTGACATTTGGTTTCCATGGCAGGCAACACACACAGCCATGTGTCCTATGAACTCTTGCAGCTTAGAATGAAAACAAGTCCCCATAGCTCCATTTTGGGCTACTCCAACCCACTTACTGCTCACTGCAGCAAGAGTTAACTTGGGCAGTGGGGAGCATGCCCCTGTGCTGTCTCACCTGGATGCCTGCCTCTAGTTCTCAAGCTGATTAACAAAGACATCCCTCACCACAGATCCCTGCGTACAGCAAGCTCTCTGCACTCTTCCAAAATAAAAAGAGCCCTGCCACTAGGTGTTTTTTATGAGAAGAAAAACAGGAGTGGAAAAAAGGATGTTTCTCCTGCTACATGCTCCATACAAATGAGGCTTTTTCTTTTTTTTCCCCCCTCCTTCAAGAGGGGAGTGATAAAACAAAGGAAGAGTCACAAATTCTGATCTCTAACCAGATAAAAGATGCTACGTGGGCAGCTGTGGTGAAAGAGGAGGAAGGGTGTGACTAGAAGGCAAAAAAAGAGTAAACGAGAAGATGCTATCTAGCCTGGCATGTGAAGGCACACACTTCCCTGTCCTTGTCTCCAGCACTCCCGAGTGGGTAGCTGCTGAGGTTTCTACACTGCAGATTCCTTAACAGAGGCATTTTGCATAATTTTCCCACGCTAACTCTTCACCTCTGGTTAAGGCGATTCCTTAAATACAGTTTTGCACTTAGGCATCCCTCCTTCTTCCTGAGGCCTCAGCCCAGCCCCCTTTAGCTCTTTCCTTACTTTGTCTTTATTTTCCTCTTCCTGCATCTCTCCACCCTTCTGACTGGTTATTCTGAGCTGCGTTCCTTCTAGTTTTCATTCACCGCAGTGTGCTTTTCCTACTCGCATCTCCTTGTTTCATCTTCTCATCCATAAGAAGGCTCCATGCTCCTCAGGGAAAGGAGCCTTCTCTCATCACCTGTCCTTACTGGGCTGCCTGTGCATTGTCACCTGTCCAAGGACAGCTGGAGAAGGGTGATCAGCTCCTAGGAATAACAAACTACGACCCGAGCACAAACTCATTGCAGCTCCCTGCAGCATTTACAACCACCACAGGAAAAAAGAAAAAAAAAAAAAGACAAGAGCAGGCTCTAAAATTTGTGTGTCAAGGCAGACAGGTTGTGGAGCAGCTTCACAATCCTTTAAGACTTCACTAGATACTCCACAATGCACGCCCAAAATACCTCAGTAGAAAGGGTAGGGGGAGAAAAAAAGGGTGTCCAGACCTCCTCATCCAGGATGTCACAAGCCAGGCGGATGTGGGACACATCAACGAGGTGGGGCTCAGATTTTAACTTCCTGGAACGCAGGCTCCACAGCTTCACAGCCGAATTATCGAACCCAGCAGCGAGCAGCTTGCTATTTGGTGAAATCTCTGCTGTGTTCAGCAACTGCTCTGTGTTGTAGAAGGCATAGAAACAGATGGTCGTTAGGGAAGGGGGCCCGTCCTTGACGCGTTTAATGCTGTCCTGCAGTAAATCCAGCGCCGCCTCGTTCTGCAGGATGGAGGCCGGCACCTCGCTGGGCTCCAGGCCGTTGCTTTCGTTGCGCGAGTGGCTCCCGCCGGCGTAGAGCTGGTAGTCGGTCCTCTTGGCGGGCTGCACATCCAGGTGAATGTGCAAGGTCAGGACTTTGCACAGGGCGTTGTTGTTGTCACTTTGGAGGTAGCGAAGAAGGTAGTTGTAGCTGTCCTCTTGAAGGCGGATGACGTACTTGTTGTCCAGAAAAGCCCGGAGCTTCAAGTTGGAAAGGATATCTTGAATAGTCATGGTAGTCTGCAACTGCTCAATGATATCCTTCTGGCTGGCATTCTGCAAGAACATGCCATGGAAGCGGCTGTAAAAACTGTCCACTGTGCTTTTTAGGCCATTCTGGACCATGTTCAGGTGGAGGTAGACGAAGAGGGGATACAGAAGAGGCATCACTTCATGGCTGTGCTGAGAATCTGAATCTGCACACGAAACAGCAACAAAACTTTGAATTATTTCTCAATCCACTTTCTACTGGGAATAAAACAGAGCAAGGACAACTACTGCAAAAAGCCCTGACAGTGGCATCAGGCAGTAAGCAAGAGGAGGCTTTTGTTGGAGCACCTAAGTGAACTTCTTCTGTCACCTAAAGGGGATACACAGTACCTATTATAGATCCAAAGAGAGATTTTCAAATCAGTGAGGTATGTTGTCAAAGTAAAATGCAGAGATTTCAAAACCCTTTTTAGGTGTGGGCCAGCTATTAAAATACCACCTCATTCGACAGCTGATTTTTTTCCACGTATTTAAAATCTAAGCTGTTTATTGCAATAAATGCACTTTAAAATTTACTCATATTTAAAGTAGTACTTAACGTGTTTAAGTCAAAATTGTGCGGGTCTGAACTCTTGTGGCTTTTTTTCTTCTCAGCTTCAATCAAACCTGCATGTGGTGCTCTGGATGGAACTGATTTGTCTCCAGGGAAAAGGAAGCTACAGTTTCCAAAACGTACTGCAATATGCTGTGCTCTTGTTTTATTTCTGGGCCTGCTCATGTGCATGCTTTCTCTCTCTCTCACCCCCTCTCTCTGCCAAGGCAAATCCCAGCAGTAATTCCTAGTACATAGTGTAACAAACTCGCGATCAGGTTGTGCTGTGCCTTGCAGAGACTGATCTGTGCAACAGCTCCACCCCTCCTTCGCCAGCTTCTTCAGGTTGTTTCCCTCCCACGTTCAGCCAGCTTCAGGGAGCCCTACGGAGTGGAGCCCTGCCCCAGAACACCATGGCAGTGAATGGGCCACAACAAGAAGTTTACTTGAGGCCCAAATGGTCTGAATTACTGGAATAGAACAGGAATCACCGATCCTCAAACAGCATTGCTATTTTTCAGCTTGTTCTTCCCTCCTGCTGCTCACCAACACGTAATCCTTTTTCACCTTTCCATTAGGGTATTTTTCCCTTCCTGTCAAGCATCCATCTAGACTTTCTCCGATCCATACTGTGCCCCTCTCCCATTTCTGTGTGTAACTACAGAGTGCGTGCTGTGCAGTGCAAACATACAGATTTGCATAATTAGGCATCATTTTCCTTTCTGTCCCACTGAAACTGTGGCAAAGGCAGTGAAACCAGTGGTCTGTGTGTAGTAAAAGCAGCCAGCAGCTGCTCTTTTCTCTGCAAGTAGTCTAGTCCAGAAATGCAACAAGGGGAAGGACCTCACACTGCAGTGGGGGGAAAAGGGAAGAGATGGGAAGGTAGCAGAGACAGGAACAAAGAAAATATTCCCTGTGATCATATGAACAGACGTTACGGGAGCTGAATTTGCCTAGCCTGGAACAGATTAAGGGGGTGTCTAACAGCTGCCTTCAGTAGCCAGTTGGACATTATGGAGGAAAAGCAGCCAAGCTCTTCTCAGAGGTGCTCAGTGAAACGACCACAGGCGAGTTGCTGCAAGGGAAATTCTCACCAAGTCGCTCAGCCCTGCAGCTGGGACTCAGAGGTGAAAGTGGTGCAACCTCCACACTTTTTGATTTTCAAAACTTGGCTGGATAAGGACCTGAGCAACCTGATCAAACTGAGCTTGCCCTGCTCTGAGCAGCAGGTTGGACTAGAGATTTCCAAAGTAATTCCTAAATTATGCAGTGGTCCTAGTCCCCCTGCCTGCTCTTCAGTGCCCCTGGAGGCAGACATCACAGGAACGGGAAGTGTCCAGCCATGCCCTGTGGATGGCTGGAAGTCACACACGTGAACTGCTTCTGTTTCTGCAAGGGAGTAAAAAACCAAAACCGAGCAAGAGGGACAAAAAAAGATGCAAAGTCGATGTGAACACCAAAACCATGCCTAGCACTTGCGCAAGTGATATTTAAGCCACTGAACAGAGCAGTTATAATTCTCAAAAATCTATTAAACCATACAGATTTACCCTCAATACTGAAGTGCAAGGTTGTTGAACTGCTCTAGGTGGCAAGTCTAAGACTAAGGCACTATTTTCTGCCTCTCCCTCACTGCCTGCCTCCCTCCCTTTCCTTTCAAAAACTATAAGGAATATTAATCCTAGTGTTATGCACACTGGGATGAAATCCCTATGCTAGACAAATGTATATGTGCCCAAAGGCAGGAGGAGTGGCAATCCCACTTTCCTTGGTACTATTACCTAAAAATTCTATTTGCTTTCTTCTTTCCACAGTTGGGACTCATAGAAGAAATAAGGACATTCCCAGGAGCCCCCTTTTTTAAAAAAAACAACAACAATAAACCCCACAAAAAACCCAAATCATGATTGTCTTCTGCATCGCACTACAGACGGAGAATTTTTTTCCTTTCTGTCATTTATCTCCAGTCTCAAAACCAGTACAGGTAAATTTTAAGGGAACAAATTCTCCCTTAAAAATCTAGACCATCATAAAAAGAAGCCAATTATGCATAAAATTAAAAACCCTAACCTAGGATACAGCAAAGAACTACATTAATTTCTAAGTTACCTGCGTTTCACATAAGATTCTAATCTTCCTTCTTGTCCTGTATATGTACCATGTTGTCTAGAAGATCTACACATATACAAAGGCCAAATGCTTGAACGTGAAAGGGGAAACAGACAACTATCTACAAAAGTCAAAGGTATCCAACACTCAGGCAACAAAAAAAAGAAAGGAAAAGAAAAAGAAAAATTAAGTATTTCTAATTGTAGAAACTGAACTCTCAAAACTAGAAATCAAGATTGTTATAGACTTGATTTTTAATTTTATTGTACTGTTCTCTACTCATTGAAATGGAAAAAAAAATCAGCTACTTTCTTCTTCCTTGCTTCCCAACATTTACCTGTGAGAAAATTGCGTAATCGTCCGAATTGTACTTCGTATTGCTGTGGCTCTGCCAGGCAGGGAGCTGCAGACACAACGTTGGCACAACCAGATTCAGATTGGACTGTGAAATAAAGTAAGTAAAATTAAGTAAAGATTTAAGGAGTTTTGCATGTACATTTGGAAACAAAGCTTCTCATAACATACAAGGTAATGCAGCCACCAAGGTGACATTTCATCTTTCAAACTGTTCAGGGATGATCAAGTCTGAAGCATCTAAACATGGCATTAACAACCTAGACAGCTCATGAACAAAAAAGTATACTCAATGCTTAAAAAAAAGAATCCCAGAAAGCTCAGCAACTCACCTGCTCCCCCCAGAACACAATTTCAAGTTTTCAAATACAACCTTAAATTCCCAAGAAACCCAGAGTAACATTGTCACAGATCCCTTCACAGTTTACAAGGTACTCAGCAATTTTACTACTTTGCACTCGGAAAAGATGAAGAAATGAATCTACAACTTTCTCCAAAGCAAAGCTGCTTTTTCA